AATTTCAATATTTCGGGATAGATCACAAGGATTGTTGGGGTTGTCTCAGAAAGCATATATCGAGAAAATTCTTGAGAGATTTAGTACGACACTTGTTCACCAAGTGTTGTCCCATTACAGAAAGGGGACAAGTTTAGTCTTATGCAATGCCCTAAGAATGATGTGGAACGAAAGAGTATGGAATCAATTCCATATGCTTCTGTTGTGGGCAGTCTGATGTACTTGCAAACTTGCACGAGGTCTGATATTAGCTTCGCTGTTGGAATGCTTGGCCGATATCAAAGTAATACTGGATTGGATCACTGGAAAGCTGCAAAGAAAGTGATGAGATACCTTCAAGGGACGAAGGATCATATGCTCACATTTAGAAGATCTGATCGCCTTGAGGTGATTGGATATTCAGATTCAGATTTTGCTGGGTGCTTTGATGTTTTTCTCCTCGCCGAAGGAGCAATTTCATGGAAAAGTGCCAAACAGTCTGTCATAGCTGCATCTACTATGGAGGCTGAATTTGTGGCTTGTTTTGAGGCTACAATTCATGCATTATGGTTGCGAAACTTTATTTCGGGACTTGGGGTTGTCGACACCATTACCAAGCCGCTGAAATTGTATTGTGATAATTCCGCAGCAGTTTTCTTCTCCAAAAATGACAAATATTCCAAGGGTGGAAAACACATGGAATTAAAGTACTTTGCCGTTAAGGAGGAATTTCAGAAACAGAGAGTGTGCATTGAACATATAAGAACAGACCTTATGATTGCTGATCTATTAACTAAAGGTCTACAACCAAAGACATTTAAAGAACATGTACATAGAATGGGTCTTGGTTGTATTGATGATTGATTATGATGATGTTATGGCACACTCTTGAGCTCATTGATGTTATTTTTCTGACTATTATAGAATTTCTTGTTCATTATGATTTTGTATACATTATGTTTAGAACAAGAAATGAATGTCTTCATGACAATTAAGTGGACATTATGATATTTATATATAATTATGGAACTTGATGTGTTGAACTATTAGTGTAGTAGTATATGGAAGGAAGTATGCGAATCGAGAGTGTACAACCGCCATAACTCTCACTATATGGTTTATCATGTCATAGTTTATTATGATGTATGGCATAATGAGATTTGTTTATGTGCACCTAATGTTATACTATTAAATTATGGGCTTTCGGACCAAGTGGGAGAATGTAAGAATATGTGGCCCGAAAGCATTGGGCTCACATTTAATTATCCTATTGGGCCAGACCTTATTTAATAGTCAAACAAATCTAAGCCATTAATTTGGATATTTGATGGACGTACCAGATCTAAAGACACCCCTATATAAATTGGTCCTCTCTCCTCCTATTAGGGTACGCAGTCATAATCCCATCACTTTTTTTCTGCTACGTTAAGAGAAGGTCAGGAGGGAGAAACTGATTTAGACCTACCAATTAATTCAATCTCGTGTGATCATCAAGATCAAGATCACAAATTATGTCGTCTTCCGCATCAAGTAAGTGTTTCGTATATATCAAATTATTTATTCAAGATCCTTGATGAAGTTTACATTGGGGACTTCAATATTCACTTGTGTTATTTGCTTTATGGAACAACTGTTCGGAAAATGTATTTCATTGTGTGTTTTCTTTGTTGGCAAAAAATCAATTTTGGTCCTTTTAGTGGTCTGAAATACTTTTTCTTTCGTTATACTAATTTTTCTCTTTCTTTCATCAATAATAGTACGTTATGTTACAATTTGTATCACTATTGAGACATCTCGAAAATGGTTCATTGTTTTTTAGGATTTATATCCTAAGAATAATATAAATTGTAACATAACATACTATTTTTTATGAGTAATGTCCCAAAACTGAGACAAATAACGATATAATTTATTATTTTTGATAAGGAGTAAGTTAGTGTACCAAAAATGGAATAAAACAAATAACAAACTACTGTTTTTCCTTGTAAACAAGACAAGTAAACAGATCAAAATTTGAAATTATTCCTTTCTTTGTTCTTTGTTTACGAAGTACTACTGCTTTTCCTTGTTGCTTTCCAATGATTTTGTAAAAAATTGCAATACGGAATAAAACAAATAACAAACTACAAAATAATCATTTGTTTATTAAGAATAAAACATGTTTAAGAAAGCAGTTAAGTTAGATTTATTATGTGGAGTTCAGATTTTGTATAAGAAAAAAAATATACTCTTGCAATTTGATATAAGTGTTAAACAAAAAAATGTCCTTGCTCTATGGAAAATAGAAAAAGAAATGAGAAAAAAAAAAATAAAAAATTAAGAGAATCAGTATCTATATCTATATATTTATATCTAACAAATTTTGAATGAATTATGATTTTTATATATGTTGTCAATAAAAGTAATCAAGATGAATAATCTCATAAATTTTTAAGGGATATTTACACGCATCTTGTGCGATTTACAAATATTTATATTCCTACAATTAAGGGATAAATAATAGCATTCATACAAAATACATATGTATTAATCATAGTTTTTAAACTCGGCCTGGTAATCGACCCGGGCAGGTCACCGGGTCACCGGTTCAACCGTCGGGTCACCGGGTCAATTGCTGAACCGGATAATTAATTTTAAATTTATAAAATTATATATATAGTATTTTGTGATATATAAATATACATAAAATAACAAAATTAAATGTTTTGTATGTAAAATTTGTAGATTAAAGTGGTATTAATATGTATATATTTACCTTATAAATATATATACATAGTTTTATTTTTTTAAAAAAAAAAATTAAAAAAAAAATAAAATAAAAATAAATATAGGGACCGGGTCAATGTCCCGGGTCAAGACCGGGTCGACCGGGTTTGACCGGGTCCGTTGTTGGCCGGTCGAAATAGTCCACCCGGACCGATTCCGGCTCCGGGTCGACTGGGTCCCCGTTCGACCCGTCGGACCGGTCCGGGTCACAAAACACTGGTATTAATTGTGTTTATGTGTGACTTTATGTTACCAGAATAAAACAAATTATGTTCCGTTATTTTCGTAATGCATGCGACCAGAACACACAAAAAAAAAAAAAAATACATATCTTTGGGTCGAAATCCCGTGATCACAGAAATCTTAAAGCATTATTTTTCAGCCTTGGCTTCGCCGGTGAGGGAGACGACTTCGGAGATTGAGGCTCTGGCTTGGGAGATTCGTAGAGTTTGAGGCGGTCCAGGTCGGTCGATCTCTCGCCCTTCTTGAAACCGACGATATTGCAGAAGGGGGAGGATGGAATGAACGGATGATAGTGATGTTACAGTAGAAATTGGAGGCGGCAAGACAGATGTCGCCGGAGAAGACGGCGACGATGAGGATAGAAGAGAGATAACTGACAAAATTTCACTGGACAAAAGAATATTTTTCGTATATGTTCCGTTTACGTTAAGTATATTTTAGGTATATGTTTCCTATTCAGAATCTGCAATTTAGCCTTTTTTTTTTTTAAGTGGAACTTTTACTTCGTAATATAATCGTGAGCTGAAAAACGAGTTGTATTGTTTGTTACTTTTGTGGTGGTGTATGGTTGTTAATGTATTGTATATTTTAAGTGTTTGATATGTGACCAGTATTGTTATAACTAGTTAAATGGTTTATGTTTGATATATAATCAGTTTATATATTGTTATCAATGTTTCGACATCGCCAGGAGCTTAAATAAAAATGTTTAAAAACACAACATATACTGAAAATATACTATCTATAAATGCAACATATACATAATTACGAAAAAATATCCAAAATAACACAGACAATGGTCAACAAAAAAACAACAAATTGCTGATCATATGTTAATTCTCGTCATCAACAATAAAGTCTTATAAATACACAAAACATAAATTATTGAAAATATATTGAAAATATCCGTAATAAACATTGAAACAAATCATGTCGGATATATCCGTAAAAATCTTCTAAAATACAAAACAAATTGTCTATAAATTGAAAATATATTGGTTATATACTTAACGTATACTGCATATCCAAAAGTTTCAATATATGCTTGCTTGCAAATTGCTCCATCCTTTCACTTGCTTCACTGATGATACAACAGTTACCGGTGTCGGAGTCGGGGACCATCTACCTCTCCAACATCACCTTCACTAACGACCCTCATGTAAAGTCGCCGATCCTCCGCCTCGAGAACTCGACATCCTATGTGCATCTCCGTCTCAAGAATTCGAGTTTCCACCGCCTTCGACCGAGCATGACATATTCGCCACTCACGAGCCGAAAGGACCACCGTACCATCGTATTCGTCCTCTTCAGTCGCCAAACCCACCAGCCGGTTGCCATGCCATTCCATCCGCCGCAGTGGATGAAGCGTGGGTCAATTGAAGAGTAATGAGCATGAAAAGCGGGATCAATTTTTCATTTGGTAACAAATCCCATTAAATTTGTTCTGATTTCTTTAAATATCTCGTGTATTTACAAATAATGTATATATTTTTTTGTAAATTTGCAAGAGTTTAATTGAGCCGTGAAAGTGTAAATAAAATGCTGTGGAATCGTGTGAGGAGTAATTTCTTCAATTTCTAATTAGCTCAATTTAAAAATAGAGAAAATGAAAATAATTATATCAAACAAAACTGATTAATTTCCAAGTGAAACTGAAAAATAAAAGTTTTCTCTATAGGTAGATAAATTTTCACTTCTTACTTTTTCCCCTTTTGGATCTATCATGCATAGATAGTTCTCGTACTGAGATTAATTTCTCTCTCTAGAGTTAGGGTTCCCATTCTGGGATTAGCTAAGTTTGATGTTTTCAACTAAAGCTCTTAATCTTCAAGACAATCCAGATTTCGTACTCTCAATCTCGCTACCATCAATCTCGCTAACCCCTTCCCTTTTCCCCTTTTCTCCACTTTTTTATTTATAAGCTTCTAACTCTCTTCAGGCGTGTTTATTTTTGGGGTGTTCTTGCAGGTTTGGGATAACTCCTCCATCTCTCTAGGCCAAGTTTTGAGTTCATGGAGTCAGATCTAATAGAGAAGCTCCAGAAATTCGATCTATCAACCAAAGAAGACAACGGAGTAACATTATCAAATGATGACATATCCCCAGGTATCCAAGAATGTTCACGCAGCTTAATTGGAAAAATTCATGGAATCAAAAGAGCAAACTTTAATGGGCTCAAAGAAACGCTGTGCAATATCTGGAGGACCCAGCAGCCGTTCTCAATTCGGCTTGTAGGATACAATCTTTTCCAATTTGTCTTCCAATCTGAAGAAGACAAAAACAAGATTTTCTTGGGCAAAACCTGGAGTTTCGATGGTCAATACATAATCCTCAAGGAATGGTCAACGAATAGCATCAACTGGGAAGAAGAAGCAAAGGTTGATCTCTGGGTTCAAATCCATGGCCTCCCCCTTCATTGGATCACCGAGGACACGGGGCTCAAAATAGGCAAACTATTCGCAAATGTTAAAGATGTTTTCGTCCCTGATTTTTGCAGCATCACTGGTCGGTG